AAAAAAAAAAAAAAAAAAAAAAAAAAAAAAAAAAAAAAAAAAAATAGGGGAAATGCTTTAGGATATTTTGGATAAGACCCCAAAAGCACATACAACAAAAGTGAAACAAGGGAAATAACTATACATCTGACAAGCGACTAATATCCAGAATACATAGAGAACACAAACAACAACAAAACAAACAAACAACAAAAACAAATAATTCAATTAAGAAAAATAGTCAAAATACCTGAAGAGATCTTTCTCAAAGAAAGACACACAAAATCCTAGAAACGAGGGTGGGTTGGGGAGGGCAAGGGCAAGAGGACTCAAGTTTGAGGCCAGCTTCAGCAATTTAGGAAAAAACTCCATAACTTAGTGAGATCCTGTCTCAAAATAAAAAGTAAAAGAACTGGGGATGTAGCTCCATGGTCAAACATCCCTGAGTTCAATCTCCAGTATTATTAGAAAAAAGAAGACATGCAAATGGCCAGCAGTATATGAAAAAATGTTCAACCTCTAAACATCAGAGAAATGCAGATCAAAACCATATGAGATAACATGTCACCCAAGTTAAAATGATTACTGTCAAGAGACAAAAAACAAAACCAGAAAAATAAACATTGGAGAGGATGTGCAGAAAACTCTTACACAGAAAAAGAAATATTGGAGAGGATGTACCGAAAACTCTTATATACTATTGGCAGGAATGTAAATTAGTACAGCCATTATGGAACATAAACAGTATTGAGGTTCCTTAAAAAATTGAAAATAGAACTACCATATAATCCTATCATTGGGTATATAGCCAAAGGAAATGAAATCAGTATATCAAAGAGATACTTGCATGCACATGTTTATTGCAATATGGTATACAATAGCAAAGATATGTAGTCAATTTAGACATCCATCAATGAAAGAATGCATTAGAGGTATATTATATATGCACAGTATACACATAATGAAATATTTTCTCATTAAAAATAATGGAATCCTGTCATTTTTCAGCACCATGGATGGAACTAGAGGACTTTATATTAAGTGTAATGAGCCAGGACAAAGACAAATGCTGCATTTTCTCACTCTTGTGGAAGTTAAAGAAATTGATCACATAGAAGTAGAGAGTAGAACGCAGGTCACTAGAAACTAGGAAAGCAGGAGGAAAGGAGGGACAGAGGTTGAATAATGAGTACCACAAAATCATTAGATGGGGAAATTGGTCTAATGTTCTACAGCACAGGAGGGTAATTATAGTCTACAACAACAAACATTTCAAAATAAGTAGAAAAGAAGAATTTAAAGGTTCACAACACAGAATTGATAATTTTGAGGAGTTGGAGATAGTAATTACCTTTACTTGCTCAATATACATTATAAACATGCATTCAATTATAATACTGTGCCACATAAATATCTACAAATATTATATGTCAACTAGAAATTTTTAAAAAACAATCACATTCATACAGTGGATCATGTTCATACAATAGACCTTCATTCCCCAAATCCATGTCCATCTGGAACCTGTAAGCATGATCTTATTTAGAAAAAGTTCTTTGCAGATGTAATCAAGTTAAGACAAGGTCATGCTGGATTAGAATGAGGCCTAATCCAATAACTGTTGCCCTTATAAAAGGGAAAATGGACATGGACACACATGCCATGCCAAGAGCAAGAGACTAGAGTAATGCAGCTACAAAGCAACGGACCTCAAAGACGGCTGGCAATACCAGAAGCAGGGAAGGTTTCTTCTCCAGAGCTTTGAGGGAAAGCACGACCATGATGACACCTTACTTTGGACTTACTGCCCTCCGAACTGAGAGAATACATTTTAGTGGTTTTAAGTTGTTAAGTAGGTAGTAATTTGTTATGGCAGCCCTAGGAAACTAATACAATTAACTGTCCCAAATTGTATATGCTTGAATCACCATCAATTTCAAGAGGCATACAATTATATCAAGTGATATGGCATTTGATGCATCTTTTCAGGCACTAGGCTGCTTCCAATAGGCAAAAAGAAAGACTTCATTTAGAAAACCCTTTAGTGGAGGTTTTTTTTTTTTTTTTTAACTGTTATATCATGGAGACACAATTTATATTGAGGAAAACCAATTCATGAAGTCAAATGCTACTGTTTCACAAAGGGCTCACACTTTTACTACACAGTGCCTCTGTACTTTTTAGCAACTTCAAAAGTGCAGCTGGATTATATGGGAAGAGATTTCTCTTTTGCAAACGGCAAATGGCATCTTGTAGCTCTTTGAAGCATTTTATTATTCTATAAAATATTCTTGCTTCAGAGACAGTGTTATTTGGGGCTGCTTCACAATCAATGAAGGAAGTAGTAGATTCCTTTGCAATCAGAGGCCATGATTGAGGCTCATGGTTAAATTCCTTTTTATCCCTGCTTAACCCAGCTGGGTCCTGAATTTTCTTAATTGCTTCTTGGTGTAAAGTTGTTTGTTCACTTTTTACTAAACACTGGTCTGTGGATTCTGCTTCAGAATCATCAGAGTCTTCATAATCTACCAGACTGTGAGACGCCTGGGGGGAAGACAGACTATGATCCCCCATGGTATGGGTTTCCTTGGATATCACAACCTGGTTCAGTGGTTCAGAAGAATCACCAGAAGCCCTGGGGACCCAAGCGTGTCCCTTTTTGTGACTATTAGGAGCAGTCAAATGATGAGGCAGTATGGGGTTGGTGCTTCTGTTTTGGACTAGTGAGGAGACACAACCACAAATATTTATGCCATATTGAGATTCAGATGCATCAAAGAACTTACAGATAGTGAAAAAATTATCACAGTCTTTTTGCAGTAATTTTAAATACCTAACAAAATATTCAAGAAAACAGGTTTCTGATGAAATCAAAAAGTCAAGAAGAACTGTAGAATCAAATCCTATATTTTTTAGGAAGAATAAGAAAATACAGTGAGGATTATAACCATTTTCATGGGTGTGACGGATCCACATTTCCTTTTCTTGGGTCAACCTTTTGGTAGCCTCACATTCTCTGAAAATGAAGGTAATGGTGAACTCGGATTAATGACTTTTTATAAACATAACAGTTTTGACAGATTTAATTCACATGCCACATATTCACCTGTCACCTTACTTTTTAATCTACCCATAACTTTAAAAGAAAAAAGTTCAAAACCAATCCTTTTCCCCACAAACTCTAAGAGAATTTGACTTAATAAAACAAAGTCCACTGTCTTAGGCATTTCCACTTTTTGTCTGCCTAACAGAAGTCCTGCCATCCTTTATCCTGACATCAGAACCCTTCATTCTTTTGGGCAACCAATTCTATGTGGTAAGGTAGAGCTGGAACCTAAACCAGTTCCCCACTCTCCTCAGCAGAGGTGGGCAATTAACCCAGACTGACCCATCAGTGCACTCATGCTCCTTGCTGGCCACAATGATTGGTTCTGAATATGGGACTCAAGTGAGCTATTCAGATCTCTGCTGGGATTTTTACTTGAGATATGAAAGGTGATAATTCTAAGACTGAGGTAAACCTGATGAGCTGCTAGTAGCTCATAAAATATTCTTGCTTTGGAGAATATTAAAAAGAAAGACTTCATTTAGAAAACCCTTTAGTGGAGGTTTTTTGTTTGTTTGTTTTGTTTTTAACTATTATATCATTGAGACACAATTTATATTGAGGAAAACCAATTCATGAAGTCAAATGCTACTGTTTCACAAAGAGCTCACACTTTTATTACACAGTGCCTCTGTACTTTTTAGCAACTTCAAAAGTGCAGCTGGATTATATGGGAAGATATTTCTCTTTTACAAATGGCAAATGGCAAATGCCTAAAATTAATTCAGAATTGTGAGATACCAAAAAGGAGAAGTAACTGATGACAATTTAAATCCTTGATGCCAACTAAATCCCTTAAGAACTCCTCATAGTGAGCCAATAAATCCTTTGTTTGTTTAAATCAGTTTGAGTTGATTTCCATCATTTACCACCAAAAAAATCTTTAATATAACTACATATTTTTTGAAAGTATGTATGCCATAAGTATATGCCGTTAAGGACACTGAACTGAAATGAACAGAGAAATTCACATATAAAGCAAATTTAATTCAGAGGCTTCCTCTTTCTTAAGAAGTCAACTTTGAATACAATTAAGATATGCTCTTATAGGCCTGTGCATTTTCAGTATGAATTTTTATTTTACCATTTTTGAGCCTAATTCAAATCATATGCAGGAATTTTGTGTTCTTGATTAGAACCTTTTGAAAATTGGCCTCAAACACTTGGTCTGAAAGCAGCCACTGCCAGCAGTGTCATAACACAGCAAGTACTGGCAGCACAACGCTGCACCGCCGATCATTAGTGAGAAATCCCTTTCTCCCAGGCCAAGAAAGAAATGGAAATAAAGCAAATACTTTAGGGTTTTAATAAAGCAGAGCAGAAATGGTGGAAAAGGTCATCAGTTATTAATTTCATAAGCAATTATAGATATTTGCCACAAGAAGATATTGCTGTTAAGTGCAGCTGTTTTAATAAAGTAGAAACAGAGTCAGTATGAAATGTCACCAGTAACAAAATTCAAAATTAATTTTACATACTTGCCTTAAGAAGGTAGAAGTTAAAATGTGGCTGTAGATTACAGTGAAAATATAGAACTGTTCCTTTGATTATTTATAAGTCAGTACTTATTTTTATAAAGGAAAAAAAATATCTTACAGAAGTTTTATACAGAAATGTAAGTCTCAGAGGTGAATAATGATCATACCCATCAAATGTGATTCACAGAAGTGAATTAGCTTACTCCTAACTACACAGGTAAAGCAGACGTGCAGACTATATAGGAACCCAGGTTTTCAGATTCCAGCCTAGTTCTACATCCCTGCCCAGTCTGCCAAGTTATCATAATAATACAAATGTAATCTTGTTTGCGTGTAAGGCAAGATTAAAGAAAGGAATTGGAACTTAGGAGGAAACCACAAGATCCACCACCCAATTGATGGAAGGTAAATAATACACTCAGCACATTTTCTGAAATGTTTCCTGCCTTTTGGCTTGCGGATAGTTCAATAATTACTTTAAACTCACTAACCTGGTCAACTTTAGGTAGATGCCCATTGATGCCTTGGCAGCCTCCAGCATGTCATCGTCTTGTTCTATGAATACCCTGGACAGCCATTCACATGGATTATGTAGTTGCAGTGAGGGCTGAAGGTGAGGCTTTAAGAAGGTCAGTAACTCAGACATGAACCTGTGTAAATCAACTTCAAAAAATGCAAGTTTCAAAGTGTAGGCAATAGTTTATGAATACATTAATAATACCTTGCCTATATACAAATTTCTAATAAAGTACCTTAAAGTGCTAGATCATAATTCACACCTTCTAAAAGTTATATAAATTAGGGAGTATTTCTATTTTATAATGAGGAAACTGAGGCTCAGAGAAAAAAGTGATTTAGAAAGATGCATTTAAAATGTTAGCATGCATTTAAAAATGGCTATATGTCTATTTGGCACAAGTGACAAATAAGTAATTATAATACAGCTGAGAAAAAAATTACATGGTGATCTCTTGATAAAAGCATATACATAAATGATGAAAAAAGGTCTTTTCACTGGATACCAGAGCTGCTTTTTACTAGAGACAATACAACCAAGCAAATTTTTCCTTCAAAATAACAGAAAATATTTTTTGTTTGTTTATTAAAGCATGAAAAGAAAGTTCTGCTTAATATTAAGCAAAAAATATCAAAAAGGCTTATGGAATTTTTAAACTATTATACAATAGATGCCACCTAGTGTTCCAAATTGTAACTACAAAAATTATAACTAATAAGTAGTTATTAAAAGCTCAATGATATCCAAAGCAGTCCAGGAAAGTCACTGCTTACAATTTATGCTTTTCACAGTAGGCTGTTTGGTAGACATTTACTATTCATTTTTCTCAAATGAAATAGAGGACATGTATTCTCCAACACCTACACTGAAAATCATACTTTATAAGGCTTTCTTTGAACACTTGATTTATCATCTTGGAAATTATATGCAACAATTTCTTCATCAATATAACTTCTCATACTTTAGTTTTAATTTGATTTCTAATTATCAACAATCCACATAAGTAGATAATACTACATTCATGAATGATAATATAAATAAAATACAAATATTTGAATATGAGTTGACTTCTATCATTTATTATGAGATGACTTGAGAGTAATTTTTTTTTGGCTGAAGTCTTTTATTATGCTATACACATTCAGTTAGCCCACAAAAAGCTGGCATGTTCCTTAAGGTTATTTCTTTTTGGGGAAAAATCTTAAATTAATGGAATTTATACTAGTCCTGAGATTTGATAATTAAGAATTATTTTACTGAAGTAAATAATTATACATTAGTTTGCACAAAAAAAAGGGGTTTGGAGAATTACCTTTCATTTCATTTGTTGAGGTATCACTTTGAAATTTGATTTCTAAGGATTTCATTGTAATTAAACTTGCTGCTCTAAGGATCACATGATCTGGACCACAGAGATATGCACATCCAGGCTGAACTTCATCACCTCCAAAGCAGGAAGGTTTTCTATGAACAGACAATGTCTTCAACAACCCAAGATGCACAGCTTGCAAAACAGCATTAGCTAAAGCCAACATGTCCGTGTCTAAGTGATGATCTGGCGATATCATGGCAGGAACTGAGCCACGACAGAGGTCTTCGCCCACTTTATAGAGAAGGCACTTTTTTATGAAAATGATCAACTTTCTTTTGACAAAAGCCTGAATAGGCCAGGTCAGAACATTTAGCACACAAGAAGGTTTCAAAAATAAAATCCTTTGGCTCCTGCAATCTAACTTCAGGTAGATTCTGGAGGTTATGAGAAGTTCGAGCAATTCCAGGAAACATACCAAGCTGTTTATTATTCTAGAAGGATTCTGACAATTTTCAAAATGCTGAGCGAATAAGGAATCATAGAACACTTCAAGAGTACTATCAAAAGGAGTCAGGAACTGCTTTAAAATTTCTGCAATTATACAAAAAGAAATTATAAACAATAGGGAAAACAATGCAATTTTATAAAATGCAATTTTATAATTCAATTTTTGTAAATATCACTTCATAAGAGAAAAGAGGTTTGGAATATTTACCTAGAGTATGAACAAATGAGAATACAGAGATTAAAAGTTATTAACCATGGTTAACATTCACTTTACAAACACCAATAGCAGCAGATAATAAGTAAAAGCTTTATTTTTTTCCTTGTAACTTTTTTTCTTTTTAAAAAAGTTATCCTTGGGCTGGGAATGTAGCTCAGTGGTAGAGTATCTGCCTAATGTGTAGGAGGCCCTAGATTTGAACCCCATGGCATGTGCACACACACGCAGGCATACACACAAAATATGGAGAGATTTTTTCTGTTTTTTATACTTCAAGACAGATTATAAGTAAGTTTTTTTTTTCTTGATTATAAATATAATGTTCCTGGAAGTTAGATGATGACTATTTATGGGGCAATGTAATGTGTACCTGCTTTTTCTGAACACGTATCTTTAAAGATTTCTTTCATTACCGCTGTAAGAGTCCAGAGACAATGTATTGCTTCATCACTCTCAGAATATCCAGAAAGATTTTTTTGGCAAAAAGCAATCCATGAATTACTTAACGTTATCTATAAGGAAGAAATAAAAAAATCTTATGATTTAGTACTTTCTTTATAATCATAAATTACCTATTATTCACAACACAACTATATGTTTACTTGTTTGCCTAAAAAAAGCATGATAACATTTGGTTAAACAAGAAGGAAGTAAAACATCCTAATATTCTTTAAGTGAAGAAAATCAATATATCAGAGAAATACAGGAAACATGCCAATATTAGCAGTCTTATCTCTAGGTGGTAGAACGATGTGTAGCTTTTATTTTGTTCTTTTTACTTTGTCACATTTTTCAAATTTCCTACTACCAATAACATCTTTTTATAATCAGAAAACAATGTTATTTTAAGAAGGAAACAAATCATTTATAGCTGAAAGAAGTCAGCAGATGCTTAGAATTGCTTATTAACTAATTCACAGATAAGAGGATAACCTGATTCTAAATTTATCGATATATTTTTTCCATTATGCTGAGGACCATTCTCAAAATTAATTTATATTAGCCTCTGAAAACAGGCTTAGTCTCAAACAGAGGTGCCTAAGCCTTTCTTGTGGAGAGGGGTCTAACCTACTTTCTTGAGAATGTGAAGAAAGTTATGGCCTCTGATGTGAAACCCACCTTTTAAGGTTAAGAATCTGATTTATTATAATTTATAATGTATTTAAGACTTTAATTCTTGATGTAAGCCACCATTGTATTATTAGATTCTTAGATTTTTGTGGACTTCACGTTATTACGTAAGCAAATACTTGATTAATGCAAATACCTGAAGGTGTAAAATCAAGTGTCAAAGAACAACTTTGAAAATATTAGAAGAGAAATAATAACATACTTTGATCACTTAGCTTACCTTTTCTCTCAACTGGAAATACAGAAGCAACGCAAGGCACTTTGCGGCCATGTGAGACAACAATTTGTCTGAATTTTGGAACATGCAGATCTACAACCAAACAAATACATGTAATCACTACTACTGAATGTTCTTAAAACATTTATTTTAAATACTTAGGTCTTCAAAATTGATAAAAATTGGCTTACCAATTTAGAATCAATTTCATTTGATTGTAAAAGAATTTTAATTACATCTCTGTATTTCTCTTTTGCATGGATCTCAGTTTCAACAGACAATATCCTGGTTACCATCACTTTGATCACAGTTAACTGAAGGAGCATCATCTCTCGGGCATCGCTCATCTGAGAGTGTCTCTTCACACAAACAGGTGCTTCAGGAATGGTAGACACCCTGATGGAGGGCAGCTGATGCTGGCACGGCACAGCATCGGTGTTCAGCCATTCTAAGGAACTGGCTGCAGAGCAATCTTGGTTTGAAAGTGCTGGGTTGAGGTAAAAGACATAATCATGGCTGTCATCTTCAAGTATGGTTCCAGAAAGTACTTTTTTGTATAACTGTTCTAAAACTTCACAGAAGGTTTTCATTTTGATATCCAACATCAATCTTTAAGATGGCTGATAACTCCAATTTGTAAATACTGATATCTTAGAAATGTGATGAATCTCTACAATGCTTCTTCAGTAAAGCCTAAAATAGAAGAAGTAATTTTAATACTGAGTGTAATATTCATATTACAAAAGAAAGACAACTGTTGTTTCCACTTTGAACCACAAAGTCTCAAGTAAGGGTAATATTGGTTGCTGAATTTCTAATATGGAAATTCATAATAAGAACATCACTTTAAGATTATAATAATGAGCCAGGAATGGTGGCACAAACCTGTAATCCTAACTGCTCTGGAGGCTGAGGCAGGAGGATCACGAATTCAGAGCCAGCCTCAGCAAAAGCAAGGTGCTAAGAAACTCAGTGAGACCCTGTCTCTAAATAAAATACAAAATAGGGCTGGGGATGTGGGCTCAGTGACTGAGTGCCCCTGAGTTCAATCCCTGGCACGCCCCCAGCCCCCAAAAAGACTATAACAGTAAAATGTATGCTTTCCATATAGACTTAAGGGCAAAAAATTAAGGGTGATTTTATCACAACAAAAACATCAACTTTCTTCTAACACTGCTCAATGGGTTGCCAGGGCTCAGTGCTGTTTACATTTGTAGCTAGATTCTCTGTAGTCAAGAGCTGTCTTGGGCTCTGTAGGATGTTAGGCAACATTCCCAACCTCTACCCCTACATTCCAAAGCACTCCCACCAGATTCTGACAACCAAAAATGTCTACAGACATTGTCAAATGTCCCTTAGGGGCAAAATCGCCCCAGTTCATTGGGATAACTAAAATTCATTAAACTTAACCTCCAATTTATAGATGAAAATGTGAGGTTAGATTGCTATATGGCCAAACGATATTATAGCTATTGCTCATTAAGTTCCAATTTAGAACATAAGATAATGGCAAGAGTCTTAATTTTCACCTATTTAAAAAAAATTTCAAATGTCTCAAGAAAAAGACAAAATATGAAGTGAAAGTAATCCAAACATGAGCAAACTGTATTTGTAGCTGGACGTAAATTTAGACATTCCAGTTGTCTAGGACTTCCCTGACATGATGAAGACCAGGAAGAGGAAGGAAATGGACATTTAAGGTCAGAAAGGACTTTTAAGGCACAGAATATGGGTCATTGACTGATGGATCAATATCAGAGGAAGCATGTTGTATAAAGACTTTGGCATAAGCAAAGATTTACTGAATATCCTTCTAATGGAATACTGGTGCCTCTGGGAATGACCTGATCCTATTGGGGTTCTGACCCTTTCATTGCCTTTGAGCTATTTTGCATCTCTTAATTGTAGATAATTGATACAAATGCAAGTAATTCTTATCCATAGACAAATAAGTAATTTTATGGTGGAGGGGCAACCCTTCCCCAGTGGAAAAGGTTTTGCTTCTACCTGTAAACATTTTAATATTCCTTTACTCCATATTAACTCATGGTTCTCTTACTTCTTCCTGAAATGGGCTGTGACATCTGCCTGATTCCCTCATGAACTAAAGAGTTTAGTAAAATATGTAATAATTGTTCATTTTATATGGGTCATGATTTTGTCCTCTTAAACCTTACCTTTTAACAAAATCTTTTCTTCTCCATCTTGACCTGTGTATAAATGCTGGACCCATCTTTAACCTCCTTCTTCGGAAGAGACTTTGAAGATGACCACTTACATTGGACCTCACTTCTACAGTGTGGCCCACCAACCTAGCTGTGGTCTTCCACCTCTTTACACTGGCTTCTTCCCCCTATTTAGCTTCTAAGAAATTTCAACTGTTGGCCACCCCACCAGACAAAGCTGTCCTGTTTCAGACCTCTAATACAGAGATAAATACAAGAAACCTATAGATTTTAAAATTATGAACAAAGCTTTGGTAAGTTTTCTCTGACTCCTACTTTCAAGCTGCAATATACATTCAAGATGATTGATTAATATATCTAATGATAATCTTTTTCCATCTGATAGCATTAAATTTTATCAGAGCACTGTGCTCCCAGAAAGCAGCTATAGTTAAGAGCACTGTGCCCCTTTGTATTCCAGGAAGAAGCCAAGCAGGAAGGACTGGCCCCTGTCCTTATTCCCAGGTACGACCTACCTCTATCCTCCCCTCATGACTCCTTAGTTTTTATTTTTTTTTAAGGTGAGGGTCTCTCTAAGTCGCCAAGGCTCGCCATTAACTTTAGATCCTCCTGCCTGAGACTCTAGTGGTTAGAACTACAGGTGTTGTGTGGTACACCGCTTCTTTGTTCTATAAAAATCTCTTCCTCCTCCTTGAGAGGTTTCCCACTGAAGAACATTCTTCCTATTGTGATAGCCTAAATAAAATCATCACCTGGCTGTTGTCAGTCATATATCAGAAATTGGTTTTCATATTCTACTTCAAATTTTATCTACTTCTAATTTTATCATACTTATTTTTCTTTATTTTTTTAGTTTTAACAATAACATTTCTTCTCAATAAAACTACTGACACTTTAAAATAGAATCTTTTAGGCTTCAATCAATATTATATGCTCAACTCATTAAAAATTTTAGTAACAAATGAAACTTTTTATTTCAATCCTACATCAATAAAAATACTTCCAATGATACTTCTATGGGTCATAAATTCTTAAATTTTACCATAAAGGAAAATGAATTTGCTATTTGATCATTTCTATGGGCATAAAGGACAAATTTGTACAGTGCAATCTTTCCAGCATACAAACGAAAGTGAGCATCAATAAATAAATATTTCAGAGAGAAAATAACCTGCTTTCTGTCATGGTAGGACCCTGTGCTATGAAAAAGAAATCAAGCTGAAAAGTTGTAAACTTTAAACTAAAAATACAGATTTAAGCCAGGTGTGGTAGCAAGTTTGAGGTCAGTCTCAGCAATTTAGTGAGACCCTCAGTAACTTAGTGAGGCATTATCTCAAAATAAAAAATAAAAAGGAATAGCGATGTAGCTCAGTGGTAAAGTACCCCTACGTTCAATTCCCAGAACCACAAAAAACAAACAACCCAGACTCAAATGGACTCTTTGTAAACAGAAGAGAAATGATGGGGTCACAAAAGACTAATGGCCAGGCAGATGACAAATGAATGAGGACCAGTTGCTAGGTTGCTTCTGTTGGGACCAAATCAAACATAAACCTTTCTTAATTACACTGCTTCTTAAAATATTCATGAGAGACCAAATAAATCTGCACTAAAATAAATATGGGTAGCCTGTTGAAAATTGAAAACTGTAGGTTTTCTTTTTAAAACAATTGTGGTGTTAAATGAAAGGATGAAAATTGAAAAAGCAAACTAGGGGGATGAACCAACTACTTTTTTTCCAGAAGTGCCTGCTCTGAGGTTGGCACATGGCAAGCTGCATTACCATGCTGGCCTGGAAGAAGGCATACCCTTCAGACACCAAGCTTGTAAGAAATGAGAACAAAGCAGCAGGCCACTCTGGATGCTGTGAGGCTTTGAAACTGTTCATACATAGTAAACAAGAGAGGTCTGTCTAGTCTGGAAAGGGAGTAAATAACTAGAGGGGTCAAATCAGGACAAGTGAACAAGCAGTGCATCTCTTGGTATCTACAAAACATGCCTCTTGACAGGGAAGAGTAGACTCCCACTCCTGGCTGCCTAGGAAGGTACCAAGACAAGTTAGAAGGCAAGTCGGGTTCTTCAAATTTCCTCTGCTGCCACAAAGCCCAGAATGACAGGTGAATAAACTTCCTAAGAGTAAGCAGTAACTCATACAGCCTAATCTTTGACCTTCTATTCTACCGGGCATACCATAAAACAGAATACCAATCCCCAATCATTTTCAAGGTTAATTACTATGCAGTTTACCAATGCAAACAAAGATTTAATTTTTTAAAGAAATATTCAGCAGCCAAAAGCTTGATTGATTCAATTTTTATATTAAGTTTTAGTAGCTACAACAAACCCATCAGCTCCTCAAGAAAAGTTGCAATGATCCTACTTTGACATCAGGTCATCAACAGCTTACAGGTACTATGAATCTAAGTGACTGAGATGTGATTGTACTACAATTAAAATAATTTTAATTTTCTACTAAATTAACTCAAAATAGATGCAAAACTTAAACTTAGCCTTTTAGGAAAAAAACTGAACAAAAATCCTTGGGATTTAGGGTTAAGTAAATCCTCGACTCTAAAAGCACAATTCATAAAAGTAAAAATTGGTAAGCAGGACTTCAACAAAGTTAAAATAATTTGCATTGTGAAATATCATATTAAGAGGATGAAAGGCAAGATATAAACAGAGAAAATATATGCAAACCATGTATCTGACAAAGAGCAAGTACCTAATATATATAAAGAACTCTCAGATGAGTAAGACATATGAACAAATATTTCACTGAAGAGGATACAGAGGTAGCAAATAAACACATGAAAAGATGGTCAAACTCATTAGTCATTAGGAAAATGCAAATTAAACCTACAGTGAAAGACCATTCTCAAAATAGCTAGAACAAAAATCAGTGACACCAAATACTGGTAAGAACATAAGAGAAACTGGATCCCTCTTATATGACTGGTGGAAATATTAACTGATACAGCTACTCTGGAAAACAGTTTGGCAGTTTCTTAAAAAGCTAAATCTGTACCACAATGTCCTCCACTTGGTGAATGGGTAAGTAAACTGGAATGCATCCACACCATGGAATACCTTTCAGCAACAAAAGGGAAAAATTATAGATACGTGCAACATCAAAGGAATTAGATTGAAGGGGAAAAGTCAATCTCAGAAGGCTGTGTAGTTCATAATTCTATTCTTGAATGATAAAATAAGGAGTGAAGAACAGAGTAGTGGCTGCCAGCTGCAAGGGAGGCCTCCTCTCCTTCAGTGGGTAGGGTTATAGAGGGTAACAGAGGGATCCTTGTGATAATGAACTGATAGGGACAGACTAACCTACATAGATGATAAAATTACACAGATGATAAAATTACACAGAACTAAGTATACATTCAAATGAATATAAGTAAACTCTGAATGAGATTGGTGTTGATGACCAGATCCTGACTATGCTGGGAATATAGCTCAGTGGTAGAGCATTTGCTTAGCATGTGTGGGGACCTGAGTTCA